ACAGCGGACGAATTGACGGGAAAGAATTTGTATACGTTGTGCCATGGAGAAGATGCAAATCGTCTTCGGAAGTCTCACATCGACCGTGAGTATATTTTTATCGATAATTTAAATTGATGAAATTTAAATTATAAAATATTTCGCGTTATCCTGATTTTATGATTATAATTTGTTTTAGTGATTCACAAGGGACAAGTATTGACGCATTATTATAGGTTGATGAACAAAAGTGGAGGATATACGTGGCTACAAACGTGCGCCACGGTAGTATGTAATTCGAAAAACGCTGAGGAACAAAATATCATTTGTGTCAATTATGTTATAAGGTAAATGTCACAATATGCGTCATTTCAACAATTAAATATCATGTTATATTTTAAACGAATAACAATATTAACGTTGATTTACCATTTTTTTTTTTAGTGGTCGTGAATACGAAAATTTAATTATGGACTGTTGTCAACTGGAGGAAGGCGTTATGGGAGTCAAACGCGAGGATGCTGCTGGAAACGATCCAGAAAATGGATCCCCCGACGCCGATAGAGGAGGTACACATCTTAAGATATTCTACTTTGCTCCAATTCTTCCTAAAAAATGATTAAATATTAGTTGCTTCATATTCGTCAATAATTCAAAACTTTCTAATCGCTAAGGTACAATAGTATTATAAAATATTGCAGAGGGAAGAAACCACGGTGGACCGCCAAACCAACATCAGGAACATCCTCACAGATCGCCGCCGGAAGATCGCGAAGATACTCGTGGCTCGGAGAGCGAGAAACGGGGCAGCCGACATCACGACAACATAGCCCAGCTTCAACAAGAGCCGGCGGTAGGGAACATTAGCACGCTCGTAGTGAAATTGCGCGGGCACAAGCGGAAGTTGCACGAGGATGATAGCAGCTCGAACGAGGAAGAGGACGAGGAGGACGACTCAACGGTGAAAGTCACGAATAACGAGAGAAGCCACGCTCTAAGTCCAGCTCCATCAAACCATTCCATTTCAGGAGGTGAGCAAATACTGTGCTCGGCCAGTCCGAAATCAAGACGTGTGGAAGATAGAACGAGCAACGCCGACAGTACCGGCACCTCCGTGAAAGATCTAGAACAAGCGATGTCCAAGCATTTGCCGGTTCAGAATCTCAATAAGTCCCATTCACCGACTCTCCATCAACCTACCGATTTCAGTACGGACGCTTTGCTGAAACAACAACAACAGAGGAGTACGATACAATGGATCGGAGCGCATCATCATCTGGGACATCTAAGTCCTCAACAGTCGAGCACCGCGCCATTACCAGCATCCGCTCTTCTACGACAATTATATGCCAACAGGGAGAGCGTGATACGAGCCAATGTTCACGGAATCACGTCCAGCGGTACTACAAGAACCTCTTCTTCCGGTGGCACTTACTACGCCGGGGACACGACACCTAGTGGTCCTTTGCCTACCCCACCTGGCTCCGAAGGATCCAGTACCTACGGTGAACATCAATTCGTGTTAGCAACGCACAATCAAAAAAGTTCAAGTGGAACTAGTTGTGCCGATGCGTTTACCAGCTTGGTTTCCTCTTACTCTACCGCCAGCGGTTATACGGTTGATTATCATTCGGCGATGACTCCACCGTCATCCGTTTCACCGAGGGACAAGCAGCAACAACAGCAGCAACAACAACTCCATCCGGTGAACGTGATAAGCAGCTACGAGGGTTCATCGGCCTACACTGACCCTGTGTTACGCCACCAATACGAGCCAGCGCAACCGTTGCCTTTGAAGCCTCAAGTATATTCGGCTGCCGTTCATCCTAGCGCATTGGACGCTGCCGCGGCGTACGCCTCGGCTGGTTTGAGCGAGCAAGCGCAATTTTATCATCATCCGGCCGCTGGAGCTGGTTTCCACATTTACCATCCGACGAACAAATCGACGACAAACGGTTGGTATAGTTCGACGTCCTAGTGGCGTGCGCCAGCACGCGAGAGACGTGTACTTAAGTAACTGAAAATTTTGAGCCCAAAGTCCCCACATGCATATCAGTGATATCATATTCACCTCGGCATCTCTGTACACCGATTTTCCTCTCGTTTCCCCTCTCTCCTTTCACATATATTCGTTCATTTCCTTTCTTCCCCGTCTTTTATCCCTGTTTCGCTCTATTTACGTTTCACTTTTGTTACAAGTTCATCGTTTCTGTCTTCCTCCAAGATAGTTTTTTTTTTTATTTCGCTTCATTTTTCTCCTATATCTTTTTCTCGCGATCCTAGCGATCGTGCACGCGCATCCGATGTGCCAATTGAACTGTAAAAATCGCTGCTCTCTATTCTCGACTATTGTAGAACGACTTATTGTAATATAACAGAAATAAATTATTATGTATGTTGACATTTTCGGAAGTATTCGCGTAAGAAAATGGAAGGTAGTAGTTTCTAAAAGAAAATGAAAAGGGAAAAAAAAAGAGAAATAAAGAAGGGAAGGGAAAATATGAGATAGAGGACAAGAGTATGTTCGATGCGACGCTCAAGGGGCAAAACGGTGAATCTCGAAACGCGGTGACCAATCAAATTATATGATTAGTTGTCCCATGTAAGAACAGTGCATGAAAAGAGAAATAACAAAGATACAAAGATAAAAAAATGAAGGTTTATCAGCATTATTGCTGTAAAATAAATGCCGGCGTGGTTGTTAGCGATAAATTTACTCGAGAAGCCGTACTTGTCATAAATTTTTTATACTTGTAACATTTTGTTGCGTAAATACAATGACTTTAGTGAAGTCGACAGTGCAATCGTTACACGTTTTTTAGCGTTAATTTAAGAAGGATAGAGAAGAATAATGTTTACCTTTTTGCTTATAATGTAAACGAAAGAGGCGTTGTTTCCGTACGAAAGAAAGCGAGAAAGGAAGAGTGCAAGAAAAAGAGAGTGAGAGAGAAACAGAGAGAGAGTGTATATTACTTATGAAGGAAATCGCTATCTCTATTAATGTACAAAAGCATTGTTAATTATGTTTTAGCATTGTTAATTTATTTGATCGCTTATCTTTTATCTATTGTCCGTTACTTTTTTATCGTTGCCACCAAGAATTGGATTATTAAATTTTTATCATTCGAATCTTTTTAGCATTAGCATTCTTGTCAACATGTTAATACATATCAATTTGTCCGATATCGATAAATCACTGCCTTACCAATTATATAAAAAATTATATAAAAAATAATTCAAACTAATGATATAAATGTAAAAAATGCTTAATTTTTTTCTGAAAGGAAAAAAATTGTATAAGTGTGCAACGAATGTTTATTTTTATATAAAAATTATAAAGTATGGATAAATGTTGTTAGAGATAGCGAATTCTTTCAGAGAGATTATGTTTTGTTGTAAATTGATAAATTGTTTTTGACGAGTACACGTGTAAATACAATTTTATGTGCTGTAAGATCCACCTGTTGAATATTTCTATTCATAATTTTTTGAAATATTTCTACGGAATTTATTTTCGTTGAAGGAATATTGTAAGGCAGTGACTTAAGCATTAAAATATATGCATAACGTCTCCATCTTGATAAAAACAAAACTTTGTGATTCAGTGCAGTTTTCACCCTTGGGATTTATTAAAATTATGGAATAAAATTATAAATGATCAAATTTTCTTTTCGTTATGTATAACTGAACAGTATTCTCTAAAAAAAAAAAAAAAAAGAAGTGACCAATTATAATTAGTAAATTTAAGGTATCGTGCTTTGATGCTCTACAAAATTTGAATGAGTTTGTCATTTTACATTTTTCATTCAATTTAAAAATTAACAATACACAATATATTGTAAACATTCAAGGCAAAAAATATTTCTTAAAATCATTTTTTGTTTATATTTCTGTTTACAACTTAGGTTTTAAATATATACAAGTTATATTATTTTATTATTATTGTACTATTCATAAATTTCATTTCACCCTATATAATTAAAATTTATTTAAATAATTTGAATTAATCTCTATGCTTGGAATTATATCAAAAAGTTTTAATAATAGGAAATATTTAAAATTAAATAGATATCAGCTTTTGCCAAATAATGATGTTCAATATATAAATACAAAAAATTGGATTGTGTGCAAAGATATTCTGTAAAAAAAGAAAAAAAAAAAAAGTACTTATAATAATTAACAAAGTTCAAAATACACAAATACAAGTGCATACAAAATATGCCTTACCAAATTATTCTTTAGAAATATATAAAGAAATAAAAACAAATGCATAACAATTATAAGACTGATAGTAAATTTGCTTGTTGTATTTTATTGTTCAAGCAAATATTAAATTGAAATTAAACTGAATATAAATATCTACAGGTATTTATATTATTCCTTTTATTTAGAAGTTCATAATGTAATTTAAAAATAAATATATATTTCATTTGTGAAAATTTTTGCAAAAATTACAAATTTTTATTCAAATTTTAATAGATTTTTGTTTTTTTGTTTAAGTAAATATTTTATAATTCATTTAATATAAGTAATAATATTAAATGAAACAAATTTGAATAAATTATGCGTTATTATTCAATTTTACTATATAAAATTATTATATAAAGTAATAACCTCTTTGCTATAAAATTATTTTTCTTATTTGCTGTTTATTACCAATAATTCTCTGAATGCTCTCATCTAATATAAGATGAAATATTATTTCTATTATTGTAATCAATTGATTAACTTTTGCAGAATGTTCAAAATTATAAAAAATTTTTAAAATATTGTTTGAATTTAGAATTTTATTTCAATGTAAATTTCAAGATAATTTTCATGGTTGTTTAATACAATATAATATAAACATATTTCAATAATTTTGAACAATACCTTCGATTAACTGCAATGAAAGCATAATAAAATGCTTGATGTTTTATAAATATTAGGTTAGGTTTACCCACAAAGCAATTTTGCTCATGTAGCATGATATATAAATTCGATGTTCAATATATTGACCTTGAGCTAGTGAACAGTCATTGGAGCTCATACTTGTCGTCATACTTTTGGCAGATACGCGCCTATATAAGTGATAAATTCAAAAGAAGATTGCAAATGTAACATAATTTAGCAAAATACGCGAGAGTAGATTCTCGCGTTTTAGTAAACGTTTACCGTCGAAGTGAGCAACTGTGGTCACGAACCATGATTTTGCGTTTCACGATCTTTCTTGCTTTTTTGATTTTGACGATCGAAGCGAAGAAATATTTGCAATTTTCAGAAGAAGAACAATGGCAAGAGTTTGAAGAGTATATGAAATGGAAAAAGGCAAAGGAAATACGTGAAAATGGTCAACGAGAAATTAAATACGAAAAACGATATCATGAAAATCATGATATGTATAAATCGCCAAAAAAAGATCAACAATTTTCTGTCAATAATCCACCACCTATTAATCAAGCAGCTTTAATGGCAAGATACATTGTTAATCAAGCTGGTAAGAAAATATATTTTGAAAGAGAATTTATTTATAAGTCTAGATATATCAACTATGTCATAATGTAATAAATGACACTATAATTTTTGCTTATTTTAAACTTTACACAAACATCTTATTTTTCAAAAGAAAGTATTATAATTAAATAATAAATACAAAGAAATTATTAATATTTGTTAATATATACATTATATTATAAATATGAATCATTCGAGGAAATCACGAAGCGAATAAAAAAATGTATAAACATGCATGATATGTATGTGCTTATCTATACTAAATATTAGATAGAGGTTAATATTAGAATTGCATTTATAATTACGCATATAATTAATTTTGGCAATTTATCAAATTTTCACAGTTTTAAATAAATACATATCATTTTATTTAAATTTAGTGAATTGTTTTCTAATTATATCAAATATTAAATATCGATTCGCGTAATGTAAGCGATTAATTATACATTTAATTATTAATTATAAATAATTAATTATTTTTATTATATTATAATATAACAGAAATATAATTCTTCGTAATTCAGTAGGAAAATTTATAGGAAATTTATAGGAAAATTATTTGAAAGAATGAATAATGAAATTAACAGTAAAAAAATGAAATATGAATGTCGAGATTAATGCATATATATAAATAATTTTTTTATGTATGAATATTTTCATTTCAAATTACATTATCAAATGTCAATTATTACATATCATATAACATTAACTAATTTATTAATTTATTAATATTTTTATGTATACAGACTGGGTATCCGTGGCAACAATAAGCACAAGACAAGATATCAAATCGTTTCCAGCCGTAACTTTAGTTTCTTATACTGATGGACTTTTAGGAAATGGATCAGGAATACCATATCTTTATCTTACTCCTTTAGATTTCACAGCTCAAGATCTTGCAGTAAGCATTGTAACACAATAAAATCTATCTTCTTTATACATATTTTCGTGAGAATGTGACTTTCGATATCATCAATTGATAAGATAATAAATAATATATTGATTTTTTCTTGTTGATTAAAATCTTGATTTAGTGTTGATAAGAATAAACACTAAATTATAATTAAAAATTTATGGTACTTAAAATACGATAATTAAAAATAATTTAAATTTCTATAATTATAGAAAGACAATCGGGCGTCATTTTTAATGACATTAGCTCAAGGGGAATACTGTAAGTCCAAACAATGGGATCCCATGGATCCTCGTTGCGCCAGAATTCTTTTAACCGGCAAAATCAAATCGGTTAGTATATTTTATTTTTTTAATTTATAATAATACAATTAATATAATGTAATAAAATGTAATATATAAATAATTATTACATTTTTTTATAGTTGAAGAATGAAAGTATGGAACTAAATTTCGCTAAAAAAGTATTTTTTACACGTCATCCAGGATTGGTTAATATGCCTGAAGGTAAGAATTTTTTTAAAAAATATTGTTGCTCAAAATATAATTTTAAAAAATTGTTTTCAATATTACAGATCATCATTTTTATTTCGCGAAATTGAAGATAATTTCAATCGTAGTATTGGATACATTTGGCGGGCCGAAATATGTTTCTGTGGAAGATTATTTACATCCACCAATAACGAATATTACTGAAGAATTTAATCGACATTTTCCCTTAGAATCTTATGAGAGTAAATCTCAAGAAGAATATAGTCCAGCCTCTAATATTTTAAATCCTGTAGTCAAACTTGTATAAATTAATAGAAAAATTAACTTAATCATTAAGGAATTTTATACATTAAATTATTTTCTTTGAATGTGGAAATTAATGTAATTAATGTAATATAATAAAAAAATTTATAAATTAATTGTAAATAATTATATTATTATTTACAAAAAAGAAGAATAGAATATTAATAGAATATATTATTATTTTAAAAAAAGAAGAATAGAAGAATAGAATATATTTTTATAAGATCAAAATAAAAATATATAATGCATATCATTAATTTACATATATTAATAATTAATTATTATTTTCAATTAATTATTTTCAACGTGTACAATTGAAAAAGTTAAATTAAATTCCTAGCATTATCGCAATATGACATAGTATATTACTGTTTACTACAAAAATATATAATTATTTTTTTTTGTTTGAAACTCATGACAATGTCTATAAAAATTTATTTAAGACCATAAATCCTTATTAAAGGGTGATGTACAAATTTTGTGATATTAACTTAATTTAATATTTTAAATATGTACATTTTCGTAATATAAAAATTACGCGTTCTTAAAGTACATTACAAAGAATTAAAATATAGTACTCTTTAATATAGGACGTTATAAATTGCAATAGCTTTTGTAATTTAAATATCTAAGTTATTTTATACGCAATTATTGAATTATTTATACACATTTTACATAATTTATTTAAAAATATAAAATATTTATTATATATTAATATTAATTCTTTAAAAAGAAAAACATAAAAGAAAAAAATAATAATTTGATTATAGATTGCAAATGATATTAATATGCAATATATAATTACAAAAGCTGACTAATTTATTTTTGCTACGTTTTTTTTACATTATTTTGTATGCTTTTTCCATGAATAAGACTGGATGAGCTCAATATAACAGAAATTTGTTCTGGTAATGGACATGCAATTAGAAGAAGTTCCTCTGAATTATAATATTTACTCAATATCTGATATAATTGAGTAAATGCAGCACAAACATTATTTTTTACTGGCCTAAATAAAATAAATTCTGTCTCCTTATTAGAAAGATATAATTGCATTAATTGTTGAATTTCAGGACATTTAAATTTAATTATCCTCAATGCTTCACATATTGCTGCTGCAACATCTTGAGGATTTCCAAGAGCATGTTCTTGAGATGCATCTGGATTATTAGCATGTAATTTTTCCTTGTCTAATAGTTTTAAAATTGGATGTATTAATAAAAATGTAGCATGTTGTATAAGACGTTGGCAAGCATATTTCAATTTATTATCTACATGTTTTCTTGAATCTATTAGTTGTTCCTTCATTTGAGGTGCTCCTTCCAATAAAAATTCTAATAATGCATTATTTGATAATGTAAAAAGTCTTGAACTTTTTTCTAATAAACCAAATGCTGCTGTTTTAACTTTTGAAAAATCCAAACTATATTCCTTTATTGTAAAGTCTACTTGAAAAGGTGCAATTTGTTCACGTAAAATGAGCAAATGTTTTATTTGGAAAAGTTCTGCATCTAAAGATGATGCCCTTTTTTCAATTTCTTGCTTTGCATTTTCTATACTTTGAACACAAAGAGATATTGCTTCCTGACTCAAGGATTGAAAAACTGATCTGTCCACACATCTATATAATCTTGATAAACATACTAATGTTCTACGAACAGTAGGATACCACATTCCATGAAGATCTGCAGGTGAATTACCTATATGTGTTTTCTGATAAATAGAATCCATTTCTATATGATTTCTGGATATTGGTTCTAAAATATTATCATCATTAGATGAAATAGATATCTTTTTCATCTTTGTTTGTCTGGATTCTTCTCTTATTGATTCTGCTATATCTTCCATCATCTTTAACTTTTCTGGATAAGCTAAATCACCTGGTGATGGATTATAATTCAAAACATCAGATTGCAAGTATAGATGTGCACGGAACACAAGTCTCTCTTGTACATCATGTAATAACTGCAAACAAATATTTCCAAATCCTTCTAAAGGTTCAAAATTATTTTGAACATGTTCATCCAACATTTCAATTCTTAAAATGCAACAAATTTCAGCTAATGTTTCTAAATGATTAATGTGAATTATGAATGGTCTCAATGTATCATACAAAGAAGTACATAAGCTTTCAAGATATGCTGTTAATCCATTACTTGTTTTGGAAAAAAATTCATAAAATAATTTATATTCATCCATTGATGCATGTAATAATAATGCACATGAATTCCTTACCAAACTACAATGATCACCATTATATTTTTCCTTTACAGATATTAAAGATTTTTGAACACTACTACCTAATACTAATCCTCTTTGACTCCAATAACATTGATGGCACTCTGATAATAAACTGTCATATTCTTGTCTTTTATAAGATTTTGCTTCAATTTGTTCTATAACTGGCTTAGCTTTTGGCAATATAGTTTGAAATCTTCCATAAAAAAGGGCTAAAGCTGCATCTGCATTATCTTGGGAATCATCATTATCTTTTAAATTTAAAATGCTTTCCGTTGTTTTGCTAAATAGATTAAAAATATAATTTTGCATCATTGATATTGCCTTAGATTGGCAATGTTTATATTTAATTAAATAAGTATTGCTTTCTTTAAATGAAAGATTATTTTGAACAAAATCTATATTAGTATCAATTTTATCTAATATATTAAAAAACATTTCACTGTTCACTGATAACGTAGGTGCTTCTAATTTTTCCATCATCATATCAATATCTTTAAAATATTTCACATATTCTGTAATATTTTCTATGATAGAATTTAATTTTCGTTGATCAGAATCAAGTTGTTCACTAGCATCATAAAGAGATATTGTTTTATCAGATACTTCTGAATATTGTTTATATAACATAGTGAAGTCTTCTAATGCTTCTTCTATCTGAAGACAAAGTTCATGACATTCTTGCCGTCGAGCTTCAAGTTCATTAAGATATAATATGTATTTCATATCTTTTCTGTCCACACATTTTTTTTCTAATCTGGCATAATGTTCTAGTAAATCTTGATATCGTTCTATTTGTACTGATTTTATAGTTTCTTCATTTGTGCATACTGTATCACTTGTTTTTTCAGTCTTAATTTTATTATCAGGAAATAATTCTTCCTCCAAATTCAATAAACATTCTTTTTGATAATCAGTTAAAGGTGCCAGAGAATCTTCTGACAGATCCCATTTGGTTAAGTTATTTGGAATGTTTTTCATTTTAGACATGATTTCTTGTCAGTGATAATTAATGTTATGAAATGAATGATTTTAATAAAAGTGATACAATTGTGTACACCACGTACATACCGTTTTATAATATAAATTAAAAAATCCTCTTTAAAAATTTGACACCGTAGCAATTATGAATCATAATTGTGAAGTTGAAATAAATTTGGTGAATATAACGCAGGATATCCACCTTATGAAATATTAAAATCTATGTTAAAGTATAAAAAATATATATTATAAAATAAAGCATATGTACATAAAACATAAAACATATGTACAAAATAAGGCATAAAGAATTTAAATATTCATATCATATTTTATGAAAAATATTATTTCAGATCGAATAAAATATTTTAATTTATATTAATTTTATAATGAGAGATTTTTAATAAAAGGTTAAGGATTATATAATAAGAAAATAATTATTAATTTTTTTTATCTTTATTGCGTAAATATTATTATTGCGAAAAAATTTAATCAAATATTTGAAATCTAAAAAACACAGAATATGCTTCTTGTCGCATATTTGTAAATCAGACTAGTTAATTTTGACGCATGCGTATAAAGAACGAATAAAAATCTGTCTATGAAAATAAGCACGATTGTATTTCTTCGTGTAAGTGTATTTCAACTGTAAAGGTTTGTATCAAATTGAATCTCAAAATATCTGTATAATCTTACTAAATAAATATTATTTATGTAATAATAAATGCATACTTAAGTTATTGCAATTTAATTAATTCAATATTAAATCATATAATGTGTTTACTTTTATATTATTATGATTGCTAACCTAATTTGTATAAGTCACAGTTTTTAATTTTGCAGGATGGCTCCAAGATTTGAATTAGCAGTTGGTCTTAATAGAGGCCATAAAACAACTAAAATTCGTGTGGCAAAAAATAAAAATGAGAAGAAAAAAACAGTATGTGTTTTACCAGCAAGATTAAAAGGGGTTAGTATACATTTTATTGTTTAGAAATATTCTTGTTGTTATATTTGTTGTTTTTTTTATGTTCTTTTTATTAATTATTAATTAAGATTTTTTTTAATTAAGAATTTTATTGAAAAGTGTAAAGATAATAAAAAGTAATTAATATAATAATGATTCTTAATATAAAATTTTTAATTTTAGAGACAAACTAAACATAGCAAATTTGTCAGAGACTTAATTCGTGAAGTAACTGGTCATGCACCATATGAAAAGCGTGCTATGGAATTATTAAAAGTTTCCAAGGATAAACGTGCATTGAAATTTTTAAAAAGAAGGGTAAGAATGTTAATAAATTTTATATAACCTTAAATTTTTTTCTTTTTATCTGTTTCTATCTATCCAAATAAATAAACAATTTCATATTCCATTCTTTTAAATTTTATAGTTGGGTACACATATCAGAGCTAAAAGGAAGCGTGAAGAACTTGGAAATATTCTTGTCCAAATGAGAAAAGCTGCTGCACATCATTAAATAATATATTATTAAATTTTTATAATAAGTGTATAATAAAAACTATACATGAAAAAAAAAATTTTTTTTACTTTACATAAAAAATTCTTTTAAATCTATTTTAAATTAATATAAATTATATATAATGTTATATCAGATATTGTATCAGAAATTAAAATGCAATGAAACAACATTGCATTTGAAATAAAAGAAGTTATATATGTAAGTGTAATAATCGTTAATCATTTTTAAGTTTGATTTATAGAATTTAGCATTTTATATATATATATTTATTTATTTATTATAGAAAATATTCATAATCGTAATTAAAATGTATTTCAATTTTCGCGCGGATTTAAGCGAATAAGAAACGTATAGCTTCAACCAATCAGAAAACTGATAGGCGATTCGGTGCGCATGCCCATGACATGACGTCAGTTTGTTCTTGAAAATTGTGGTAGCAGGTTGCATTTCATCGGTAGTGATTAATTTGATTCTTACTTGTGTAAATTATTGTTTGATGAGTTTAAAAGTGTGACCATAATAATGAGAAGGTAACTTTTATACAAATATGATAAGATTTTCTTTATTATAATAAACAACGTAGTTTTATAATCAATTTTAATTTATATATTATCGCACATTTCATTCCTAAATGCGTACGTCTAACCGTACGTTCAATTCGTGGATTATTGTTATGTTTGTTTTGATTTTACATTTAAGAACCCAAGGCTAAAAACATTTTTTATAATATTACAGCTTTTCGAGAAATTAATAGTTTGCGTTCATGTCGTACTCGATAGATTCCGATTTATCGAATTGTCGAACAAATCGTTTCCTCAATTTAATTCGATATATTGAAATCGCTACGCATTCGAGATATCATTTTGTTCTCGAAAGTTGTGACGCTTAGACTCTTCGTTTCAGGTGCGTAATTTATTTTGTATAATACTTATTTCCATAGTTATTTTTCTGTTTTTTGGATATTATTCTTTAATTAATTTAATAATATATTGAATATTATTATAATTGATAGTATTTTGAAGAATAACTTATTCTTTTCTCTTTATTTGTCTGTTTGATCGTTAACGTTACTAGTGGTTCGTATTATAAATTTCTAAGATGATTTAATCTTAGTTATTGTTTTATTTTAATGCAATAAATTCTAATTTCATACAATTTCATATATTTATTTTATATTTAATTATTTATAATTAAATATTTAATTATCTTTTATGCAGATTAACATCTAACTGGTAAAATGATTTTCAAGGCGGGAAAAAGGGATCAAATATGGACGCCACAACGAACATTCCAACGATGTTCAATTTGATAACTTTTCATAATGGAGTGGTAAGGTTTGATTTATTATATTAGAAACAAATACGATTATTATTTATGCTTGTTAAGTAATTCATAATATATTAATTAGGATAATATATATTATTAAGGATAAAAATAGAAAAGATTAAAATAATTTTTTATTTTAAATTTCTTTTTATCTTAAATAGATTAAATTAATTTTTAATATAATATTTCTTTATAAACAATATTGTCACTTTACATAGCACTATTTTTTTAAACAAACGCTTTATAGAAAAAAGAAGAAAAATATTGAAACAATATTTTACTTCTTTTCACTCCGCCCCATTTTTTATTTTCAGTGAACTTTTGTGATCGCGCGCAATGCGGTCAGTAGAATCAGTGTTTACTTCGTAATAATGTTTTCAATGTTCTTTAGAGCAAAACTGCTCTAATTTAATTTAATTGTAATAGTTAATTGTAATAGTTTCGCGAAAGTAGAGTCAGTGCTTGTTCATCGATTATAATATATAAACGGACGTGTTAATAGCTTCTTATTTTTTTTTTTTTTTAAATATTCGTTTTCGGTACAG